TATGTTGAAAAAATGTGTATTAGAAAGTTGTTAAACAGTATACAGTGATAACGTTTTAATTTGATAGAGATCGGAAATAGATCAGGAAAGAGATAGACGCTATTTTCTGGAGGCAATAAAGGAATGCATTAATCATAAAATATATTAATACTTGATCTTTTTTATTTACTGGTACAATTTGTTGTTGTTTGAATCGAAATATATCTATAACATATTATGTTTTTTGTATTTATTCTAAGAGATAGTTAATCTATGACTAATAATGAAATTAAATTTATAATTTGTAACTTTAATTTATTTTTTCTGATCTAAAATTGATTTTCTAATTATACTATCAGGAATATTTTCTTATTATATAAATTATATAATGATTATCGTGTTTTAGATTAAAAGAACGAATAATAATTGTTGTTATTGAGATAACAAATAGTAGTAATACTTTCTTAAAAATTCCTTAACAACTTTTCCTTTAAATTTCGTTTTTCGAGTTTTTCCTTTTTATCCATCAGTTCCTTTAATGTAATATCATTATTAATTGTTTTGTTATCACATAAAAACTTGTTATAAATTTGCATATATATTTACCACAAGAGCTTTATTCTCAAGTTTTGATTCTTCTTGCTTAAAATAATGCGACTTTTCTTCATTTTTCTCCACAATTGGTTTGCTGGCCACAACACTATCTGCGTCACATAATATCGTCGCAATATTACCAGCAGTTTTAAGAAACTTATCAAACTTGCTCGTGGAACATGTTGGTTCGATTCCAAAATCGAAATCATTGACCTCAGTATTGCACGTAAGAAAATTATTAATTCCTGGTAGCGACAATCGCGATCGTTTTGTGGGAATATCGCAGGAATCAAATGTCCGAGAAGACGTTTCATTGCTAAATCTTCTTGATCGTATACCATATCCTGTATCGCGGGTTAAAAATTTATCAACCCTTGGTAACATCGGTGTACAAGCTAGAACAGCTGCTTGATATGTATTCTGTGAAAGTTACGTTAGTTATGCATTAATAAGTTATGTAGTAAGCATAGTATAGCCAAATATATCGATTTGATCAAATTTTAGAACAATTAATATAACTTATTCTTCTCTCTTTCTATTGTAAATTAATTAATACATTGTATAAAAAACTGTTTCTCTTAATTATATACTTATTCTCATAAACGATAACAACAATTGAAATGTTATTTTATAAAAAAGAAATAAATATAAATTTTAGTTATAAAAATTATTAGTTTCATATGAGAAATTTATTGAGAGAGAAAGTAAAAATAAAAGTGGATATTATAAGATATGCAGTGTTCTCACTTCCGGACATACGTCCAATTGGTGTCCACATAATTTCGTCACTCTTCCTCTTAAGTCTCCTGCAAATTTATAAATTCTGGATACCGGATCCATCGTAGGCGGAAGAATTTTTAGAGGTCCTGAGGTTAAGCACGTTTCAGGATATAAGTAAACGCATGACTTGAAATAGAAGAATTCGATACTATAAAATAAGAGTTCTTCTTTATGATCTGGCAATATGTAGCCATGCTAAAACAAAGAGAACAATTATTCCAATTGATACTGTTCATAATTAGATGAATGATTAGAATGAATGATTAGATTTAATATTATTAATTTGGAAATTAATAATATTAAAAAATAATCCTATCAAATTTATTTTCAAACAATCAATTACTCTTTGTGCATATCTAATTAATTTTTATTTTAGCAAGAATAATATATGATACAAAATCAATAAAATTCAGTTTGAGCAATATTAGTTTTAATAAATTATAAATGAATTCTCACCATATTTTTCCAATATGTGCGCATATCCTCGTAATTTTTGAATAAGTGCTTTTCATTAATTTCTTTCGATATGCTCAACACAGTTGCCATTTTCAAACTATGAATAAGTATTTATGGAATTACTATTATGAAATAATTTATACATTTATGCGATTATAGTATAAAAACTGACGTAAAATTTTCATAATTTATCAAAACGTAATTTATATTAGTAATAACAAAACTTTCACTTTATCTCTTACCTTGGTAGAACACGTACTGGTGGCTGCGAATCATGTATGGTATTTAATCTTAGGAATGGTATTTTGAGATTTATAGCCTCCATATGAAATTGAGCGCTGTTATCTACAACATTAATCTTTTACAGTTATCTATTTAACTAATCTAAATTATTCTTTTATAGCTAATTTACTCTCTAAATTCTTTGGAGTAGAATGTCATTCTAAAGAGTGAAAATTGTACCAGTCTTGAAAAAGAGTGAATCTTCAATCTTTAAGAGTGAGATTTCTTTCATCAAAGTGACAATTCACTCTAAAAGTTTTAAAGGATAAATTTTTCTTTATGCTAAAGAAACTTCTGTGTATTTCATCTGTATATATGTAAAGCTTATACGGCATATCTAGTGATGTTATCTGTAAAATCAGTGATTATACCGCGGATATCTTTGATATTCAACATGATCGCGTTGACACTTCCCGTCGAGCTAAGAAAATCTCGTCCCTCGACGAGGTACAATCCAACCTTGTTCCACTGAGGTGCCAACCTGTGTTCCACCGTGTAAAGTAGACACATCTTGTAAATGTAATTCGGAAAAGGATCGAGTAGATCCATCTACAACATTCGCATGTCGATATCAACGAACAGCTTTGATTTTAGGAAAAAAGTAAAATTATATTCTAAAATATATGAATGTGGATAACACCAAGAGTATTAAATATAATTTTCACCGTTTTGACGTTAATATAAACATCAACGCCGTATAAAGTAATATGTAACATATGAGTGTTTAATAGAATTCTCACTGTGTTGAGGTTGATATGTATATAAACACCAACATAGAGGGAATTTAACACCATGAGTTTGAAACCATTCCATATAGCACACTTTATTCGAGAGATATCCTGGAAATGTTTTTTGAGCGCTCAAAGAACGTAGGAACGTCCTCAATTTGGACAACTCTAGGAGATTTGCGCTGTATGGACACGGTGTTGCTCTATGGTGAAAATAAAAGTTGAAGTGTAAGTCGAATATAAGAGGAGGTTGGCTAAAAGGTTTTATTACGTTTTTGTTATTTTCCCCTTATATTTGATTTACGCTTTAATTTTTATTTTCACTAGAGTGAATCCATATCCATGTCATTAAATCCACACCGTACAGGTGTTTATATTATTATTATTTTTTTTAATGTGTTCGAATAATACAGATCTCCAAGAGACCTCTGGTGAAAATTTTTCTTATAATTTTTATACGACTAATTATTACGAATAATTGGAACATTTTTCAGAAATACTCAGAAATATTCGGAAAGTTTACATCTTCTCTTAAAATTTTTCATGTGAATTCTGAAATATTCTGAGACTTCTCATCCCATAATTTTTAAAAATATTTTTTAATTTTTTATGTTTTATAACATTTATATTATAACAGAAATTATACTTACAAAAAATCTTAGAAATCTTGTGCTATTTCATAATTAACATACATGGAAAATTCTAAAAAAAGATGTAAATTTTCTGAAAAAAGATATAGATTTTCTGAGAAGTGTTCCAATTCGTATAAAAAAATATGAGAAAGTTATAAAATTATATAGAAATTCTGAAAAATAATATGAAAAATTCTGAGAAAAATTTTTACTAGAGCCGTTCTAAAGAACGTTCCAATATTCTAAGAACATTCCCATGAAGATCTTTGGGATAAAATTAAATGTCCTGTATGGGTGAAGAAGGTAAGAATTATACAAACACCGTATAATCCACACCCACATATTTTTTTAGAGTGTCTCTGCGGACACGTACTATCTGTATGTTAAGGGCGTCGCAATGGTCCCGAAAGGTATAGTTTTCCAAAAAATCCTTTGTGACGATAACGTACAGAGAATTGCCGAGCTCGAGTAACTTCCGATTAGTTATCGGAGCAGCCATCGCCTGAGGAGTTTCTCGAAGAAATTGTCTGAAAAATCGACGTTTTCTTTTGAATCAACACGAACTCAATTAAATTCCAACTATTTACTTCCAGGACTTTGGCCTTAATTCGCAAAATGTGCCAACGGAATTAATGGAATGAATGCGCTACGACGATAGTAATAATCGATACATACCCGCATTTAAGCTTGTTTCTGCAATAATTGGAGTAGATTAAGGGATCGTTCTCGGAATGCATGATCTTGCAGATCATGCAGCAGAGACCATCCTTTGGAGGTATAGTGACGTTGAAGATCTTCACGGTGGAGACCATAATTATATATAGCTTTTATCAGATGGTATAGAAAATCAAATCATTCTGCAATGCAATACGAAATTTATATAAAATAAAGAGAGAATGTAATTTGTATTTTTATAAATTTGCTGAAGACAGTAGATTAATATAAATAATATGATAAAATAACAATGAGTGATATATACTGTTATTCATTAATTGCGCTGTAACAGTAACAAAAAATATATCTTTAGATAAATAGAATGTAAAATTTTGTCGGTATCTATAATTCTTTACATTTAAACGTTTCAAATAAATAACAAGTTCCGCAAATTTTAAGTAATTCAAAATTCTTAGCAATGTAAGTTTCTTTCATTACGATTCTCGAACGGTTCTTGTTCTGCTTATTATCCCTCGTAGTTTGATGGAAATTAAGTAGAAACCAGCTTTGCTTTTTGCAAACGTACGATTGTTGAAATTCGATTCCGTTCAAAGTGTTTGTTAAAATGCGCATAGATTTCGAAAATTTCGAAATTTGAAAGACCATTTGTGATTGGCTGAAGAATTTGACGAGAGTGACGTAACGATTAATTTTCACTCGCGCTTTCTGCACTGCGCACAGTTTTTTATCTTTGATATTCAACATCTTTGATATCAATTTATTATTATTAGACCGTAATAAAGTTATATTCTTTGTGGCTGTTTTGCATTACACTTTCTACATCTAAAATAAAATAAATAATTAAATCTTAGATAAAAAAGAAAAAAGATGAAGATGTAAAAAGTGCAGTTACAAAGAACGAATCTTTAATACAGTGTAGGCAAACCATTCGTTGTTGTTCGTTGTCGATCGCGAGGTTCTAACCTCACAATCGGGAGCGCCTAACCTCACATTCAATATTAATAAAGTCGATATTTATTTAAAACATGTTGAAAATATTGCGAGCTGCTGCTCGGTCGAAAAGAACTTGCGCAGCAAAATCCGAGGGACTCAGAAAATGTAGTAGTCAGGTTCAATCATGTTTCTAACCTCTCTTTATACCTGAAACAATTGTTTTTGACATATGTAGATTTAGTATTTAATTAATTATATAAACATGTTTGTAAAGCACTTTAAGGATTATTATTACATTTTATGGAAAGTTTTATTCATTACGTTAATTATTTAATCAAATTAGTTACCAATTATTATATTCATTATATGTTTTTTTTTATTTTGCAGGCAACACAGATTAAATATCCTAAGAGGATATTCTCCGGAATTCAGCCTACAGGAAGCGTGCATTTAGGAAATTATTTCGGTGCTATTCGGAGATGGGTGGAGTTACAGAACTCTGGTGAAGCAGTTCTGTGCAGCATAGCGGATCTGCATTCCATTACTTTGCCGCAAGTAAAATAACAGCAGATTAAGTTCCTATACTTCGGCATTATTGTCTGCTGACAATATACAATTTGTAGAATCCTCAAAAATTGAGAGAAAATACTCTACTGATGACCGCGACACTGATAGCATGTGGCATAGACTATAAAAGGAGTATTTTGTTCCAACAATCCAAAGTACCAATGCACACGGAACTGTGTTGGATCTTAGGCAGTATCACGACTATGGCAAGGCTAGCACATCTACCACAATTCAAGGAGAAGAGCGAATCCTTAAAAAATATACCTCTAGGCTTGTACATCTATCCTGTTCTACAGGCAGCTGATATATTATTATATAAGCAAGTATCTTGATATTAGATGTATATTAGGTAATTGTTTATTGTATGTCAATACTTCAGGGACTTGATTATGTATCTTAAAACGAGATAAAAAAGATAGGGAATAAATCTAAAATTGAAAACATGAATATATAATGTAATAGATAAATGTTTACTTTAGAGTTTATTAAATTGATCTTCTAAAGTATTGATATAATTAAAAATTACTCTATGATATATATATTTTTATGCAGTACAATAAAATTAACACACACATGTACATAATGAAAATTTTTCCTTTAGAGCAACGCATGTTCCAGTCGGGCAAGATCAAGCTCAGCATATTCAGTTGGCACAAGATTTAGTACAGATTTTTAACAGGCAGTTTGGACAAACCTTTCCAGTACCACGTACTCTTATTAGTGGCAAGTTTTTAAACCAGAAATTTAATCTTGTTACTTTTAAATTTTATAATTTTGAAAATATCTCTATTAACAATTAAAATTTGTATACTTTAAGATGGTCCGAGCCAGAGAATTAAGTCTCTACGTGATCCCACAAAAAAAATGTCAAAATCACACACAGATTCTAAGTCCAGGTTAAATCTCTTGGACGAACCAGATGAACTGTTAGAGAAAATGAAAAAAGCTGTGACTGATTTTACATCCAAAGTGACTTATGACCCAGAAAAACGGCCAGGAGTAGCTAATTTAATTAATATACACTCTTTGTTTACTGGACAGACGACTGAGGAAATATGTGAGGAAGCTATAGGTTTAAATACAGGACAGTAAGTACTTAATAATCATTATATCTTACTTTTTCATTATTTATATAGAAAAAAAAAATATATATATATAATATATAAATGATTACTTTTGGAAACTTTCATAAATAAGTTGGATGAATATTATTATGATTTACTTTGATTTTTTATAGGTATAAATTGAAATTAGCAGATATAGTGATAGAAAAATTATCCCCAATTCGTAAAGATATATTGAGATTAACCAGAGAACCCACCTATTTGGACGAGATTTTGAAAGAAGGTGCAGAAAGGGCCACGGAACTTGCGACAAGCTGTTGGGCAGAAGTTACAGAAAAGGTTTTTGGTAATGATATACAAGATGCGAAAAATATAACAAAAACCGTAGAAATTATGTAAAACAATTATACTAATTGTTATTAAATATTATTTGTATCTTAAAACGATTAAAAAAAATATATTAATTTTATATAAACATTAATATATTTAATTTAATTTTCTATCTCATGTCAATAACTAGTTTGCCTCGTAAGTGTCCTTGCTTCAGTCTCTCATATGCCTGTGGCAAATCTTGAAAAGAGTATACCTGTTGAATGACAGGTACGATCTGTGAACCAAAGAGCAGAAAATACAATATTATAGAATTTTTAGTACAATAAAACTTAGGAATTTCTGAACATACTTCTTCGTTTTCTACAAGCTTTTGGAGAACGTTAATTCCTGTTTGGGAAGGTATAAAAAATCCCCACTTAACACAACTTTTATTTTCTGCCTTTGGAATATTAAATTTTAGAAGATCTCCGAGATTTTTCGCTATTCCCATGATTAGCCCATGATGATCAAAATTGTTTAACAGTGGCGAATTTAATGCTATGTAAGTATCATGTGGATATCCTTTCATTCTGACATATTCTGGCCCCAGTTTGGCGCAATCTAAGATTATGTCATACCTGCAAATATGACAATTGTACACATAACGCTCATTTGCTACAACACTAATAAAAAAAAAATTAGTTTTTCAGAAAATATTTGAATGTTTTAAATCATTGAAATTATGTAATATTAATTCTGAAATGCAATTTTGGTGTAATTTTGGTGTAATTCAAAAACGACAATTATTGTAGCAAATGAACGATATATTGCATTTATTACACACAATGCATTTCAGTTTAATATAAAGTCACTTACGGTCCTTCTGAAATAATTTCTGCATCGGCATCATCTTTCTTATAATCAATGACAACATCAGCATCTAAATTCTGCAATATCCCTACGGCGTCGCTACTGCATGTGCTAATTACCTAAACAAATTTAATGTTTCATATCCTGCAGACTTTAGTATATGCGATTAAATATTTACGTGTATATTCCAAGCTTTTAGTAGTTGTATAGCTAAAGTACCGACTCCTCCCGAGCCTCCCATGACCAGAACACGTTTGTTCTTTCTCACAGCTATCGCCGTTTTGTAAAATAGCCCTCCTGTGAACCACAGCGCAGACCAAGCAGTCAGTCCAGCGTACAAGATACTTGCAGCTTCAATATAAGACAATTTCTGAGGGCGTGGATTTACCTTGCAAAAAAATAAGTATTACGATGATTGTAAGTTATAGATTGGCTTGTCAAATATTTAATATATTAAGAATGAAACGTGTCTTACTAAACTACTGTCAACAATAACATAATTTGCATGACAGCCCTGTTGTTCAATTGGAATCACTCCCCAAACTTCTTTGCCAATCTTAAGCCTGTCTCCTACATTGTATCCTTTTGATACAACTATCCCTGCGAAGTCTCTACCTAATGTCAATGGCAAATCCATTTCTCCCAATGTTCTAAAGGATAAACTCTTGGTTGTGCGTAGGACATTCAGGAAAGTATTACCATAGCCTTCTACAATAAAATTTACCTTTTTTATTGTAATTCTTAGACTTTGGTTGTAATTCATGCTCTTAGAATTCGTGTTATTTATCAAAGTTAAATAAAGACAATTGATGCGAGTATTACAAGCATAACGGAATCCTCAGACTTTTAGGACTATACTAACTCTGTAGTTCAACCAAGTCTTTCAAGACCCAGGTAAATTTTCAATTATTCTATCTCAAATTCAGACACATAACAAAAAAATAAAATTTTGGATTATATCATTATAAAATCATATTATTGAATGTTAAAAGAGAATACCAGAATTTTTTCAGATTTTTTTAGAATCCAAAAACTCTTTAAAAAAACACAATCAGACACCAGATTAGACTAGGAAAAAAGTCAAAAAAACGTTGGACCACAAAAAACTAGTCTTATTAATACTAAAAGCAATTAGAGTTATAGACAGTAATATATGATTTCCAATCATATGTTATTTTACATTTTGCATGCTACTTTCAAGATTGAAGATACATGTACAATGAAGCAGGAATAGAATACCCGTCATGGCAACATCGATGGGATTTACGCTAGCAGCTTCGATCTTCACCAGGACATCGGTGGGATTTGTGATCACTGGTATCCTGACGTTAGAGAGTCGCAAATCCTCCAGGCCATTATACGAATGTATCTGCCAGGCTTGCATCCTGTCTAGAGTCTCTTTTAAGTTGGTCGACAGCTTCGACAAAGAGCGAAGGTGCACCGTTTGAACGGTACACTTTAATCTTAAAATCGCCTTCTGCAGCATCTCTTTCGCGAGGACTATACTATACTGTGCCAAATATTGAAGGTTAGGAAATCATTTGTAAACACGAAGTTTTCCTTCGGTTAGGTTTTCGTGTTTACTTTTAATCCATGTTGCGTTATTAGAATTGCACAACTGTAGAAAGAAGATAGGCGAAAGAATTAAAGATAAAATGAATTAAAATGGACACGAAATTGAGTATTTTTTTTATATACATACATCGTCAGGAAGAATAAACGACCTGCTGCCCCGTATGATCACGTGTTACTCGAATCGATTTAAAAGGTCTCGTCTTTTTTCACTCTTGCATTCAAAAATAAAACATGTATAACTTTTTCTTGTAACAAATTCGGTCACTTGCATTATATTAAATTAGTGCGCACTAAAAGCTGTTATACACGAAATTAGCAAAGATAAGTGTAAAAATATATAAATATTTTAAACAATTACACAGTGATTCTAAGCAGAACAACAAAAGTCATTATGGGCGGTATATTCGTAGTCCGTTCTAATTATTTCAAGACTATCTTAAGTAATGTCGCTAATACGGCTCTCTGATTGGTTCGTGACTTCTTAATTAAACTTACGTAATTTTTTCAGAATTTTTATTCCAAGTTTAGATTTTTTAAACAAAAAAATGTTTATAACTTTTCAACGACTACTTAAAAAAAAAATAAAGTGTATATAGATGTTTTTTCGCAGAATAATATAAAAAATCGAATCTAATCATTTTTAGTTGGTAGAACATTGACCGGTCGATTACTGCATTTTCTAAACGATTTTTTGGAGGTAAACTGCTCGCCTATAAGTGACGAACTCCATTTGCATACGTCTCTTTATATAGGAATCCGCGTCATTTTCTTCTTATGAAAAATGAGTTTATCTCGCAGCGGTACTGCGTACACGGAGAAAATTTTATATTAAGTTTTAATATACAGTTTTAAATTACACTTTACTATGTCTTGTATTTTCGATGGACTCTCACAACATGATTCCGATTTAACTTTTACTATGGTAATACTAATTTTTATCACATAAATAAAGTAATTATTTTATTAAGCCATATTCTAACAAGAAAACAGTTAATTTTTACTATGGTACGCAAACAAAATTTGATAGGTATATTTTGTAATAAAAAATGTTTACTATGAAAAAGTGTAAAAATTACGTTGTATTATTGTTTTTAAAAAAATAACTATAGCATTTAAACTTATAATTTACATGAAGACTGCAGCTACCCAGACAGCACAGAATATTTATGATAAATATTTATTAATATTCAATTTTTTAAATGTTGCATAAATATTACATACATATTTTATATAAAGCTTTATTTGAAATATTATTAAAATATAGACTAAATATTTCATGTAATACTTATGGTAAATATAAATAAATATTTCTAATAAGTATTTTTTACTTGGATTATAATATCTCATTAAGTATTTTCATAGCATTTACCATAACATTTACAATAAATATTTCACAATATTTATAATAAATGTTTATAATCTGTGCAATCCAAGACCACAAAAATATTGTGTGGTGTCTGAGTACTACCCCATTATAGTAATTTTAAATATAAAATTTTCTCCGTGTACTATGTCACTTGCTTATCGGCGCCCGTAGTATGCGTACGCCAAAGTACGTATACTCTGCTAGACAAAACAGCGTAAAACGCAGTATCGTCGCGGGATGAACTTGTTTTCCGTAAGGAGAAAATGACGCGGATATAAAGAGACGCATGCAAATGGAGTTCGTCACTAAGGGGCTGCGCACAAAAGAAATATGGAACAGAGAAATCTGAATCTTTAACGATCTTTTAGTGCTTTTAAATAATTTCTATGTGAATTTATATCAATTTATATACTAAATATGTAGTTATTTGAACTGCGCGCCGAAATTTTTTCAAACTTATAAACGCAATCGAACTACTATAATAATATCACAAATTAAATTGATATAAGCAATTTAATAATTTGATGCTCAATTTGGCATCCTATTAGAAAAATGTTAATGTATTGAAAAATAATATATAAATAAATAAGTAAACTTTTTAAATTAAAATTCTCACTGAGTATTTACTAATTTGCCGATCTCTTGAGAGATGGAATTGGCATCACAGTCGAGACGTCGTTATTTACGACTTGCGTATGAATATCAGAGATCGAATTGGTTAAACGAGAAAAAGTTTATATCATATAGGATACTGTGCGCGTGTGTGTGTGTGTGTGGACATATGTGGCCGAAACGCACGTGGGAGAGCCACATTAACGAAAGAAGAAGAAAAAGGAGGAGGAGGAGGAAGAAGTTCCGTTGCATGGCTGTTGCCTATAGAATGTAAAAAAATTTTTTTAAACCGATGAAATGTTTTCGGTGTTTTATGCAGTTATAAGTTGCTTTCCATTTACACACAAGTGAAACTGAGTCTGAAGTGAGCTGAGTATTTTATTCTCAGATTAATGACGTTGCTTACTTTGGTAAAAAAGTCAACACAGGTTCATAACCTCACTTTGAAGTGAGTTTACTCACTAAAGCACACAATCTCGATCTTGTGCAGATTATGGGTTTCAAAATTCAGTTGAATCTCACTTGTCTGAATGCAAAAGGAACGCGCATTCAACTGAGTTATGACGTCACAGGTGAGAATTATCTGAAAATCGGTGTAAATGGAAAGCAACTATAGTCTTCAAAAGTTCCACAACCCGACGCCATATAT